AACTGCAACACAGAAATTAAGAGAGAGAGATGAAAGTTGAAATCCACTTTGTGCAGCAATAGAGATTGAGAAACTGAGATTCTTCTCAAATTGAGATATGCAAGTTTTGGGGTTAGCAAAGATGGATCTGTGCTAAGCCTTTACCTGCATTTGGGCCATGAGGGGAACAGTTCTTGGAGCAAGGGCAGCCCTTGTTGGGAACTCACCATGAAATAAGTGCAGTTAAAGTAAACCTGGGAGGTAGGTCTGAAGAAATAAGAGCAGGAGGCTGGAGAGGTCATCTGCTGCCAGAGGGCTGTCCTGGCTGGTTCTCACCTCCCACTCCTCTCACCTGTATAGCATCACCTTTCTCTAGACCATGGAGCACTGAGAAACCTGGTTTAGACTAGAATATGTCCTTAGCCATGGCAAGGGTTGGAACAAGATGAGCCTTAAGGTCTTTTCCAACCCAAACCATTCTATGATTCTCTGACCATCACCTTCCCGAATAAGCAAATACCTCCCTCTCATCCTTGCACTCTGATTCCTCTAGATAATATATCAGGACCAACAAGGTGGTATTTTATTCTCCTTTAAACAGTGCAAATTATATGATCTCACAGATCAGCTCTTAACAAAAATGCAGGTGACCTCTTTTTGCCCCATTGGCAGAGGCACTGGGTGTTATTTTAACAGCTGTGAAATCCCTCTGAGATTCTCTCCTAAGTAGGTGCTATCAGGAAGCAACTCCTGACATAATTTAAGGCACTGAAAAGTGCAAGCACTGGCAACTATTTCTGTCAAAGCAAATGACCACATACATTGTCTGATAACAGGTTTTTAATGAGTAAGCAAATGTAACCCACCCAAGGCACTGAGTCAGCAGAGGGTCACTGCAGCTCCTGGAATTGCCTGGCAGAGTTAGTCCCAAGGGTCTTGGACAAAGTCCTTGACTGTCTGGGCATGAGAGCTTCATTCAGAGGGACCATCATTAGATAAAGACCTCGAGGGAGAATAGGATCTATTATATCCCTTTGGCTACACTTAGGAGGAAGCTCTGGTGAGAATAAATTCCCATGTAGGTGAGAAATGGAATAGTCAGCACTGAAAAATGGAGAAACAACAACCAGGCTGAGAGTTCCAGGTCCTTAGCAGGGGACATAAACTATTTTGTGCACAGAAACCCTGAAGCTGCCCAGGGTGAGAGGCAGAGATGAGCCCCAGATTTCTGCTGAAGCAGCAGCTCATGCTGCAAAGGGGAGTGAAAATTCCCTGTAGCCTTTAGTTCCCAAACTTTGGTCATTGCAAAGAGCAAATGGAGTCATGATGTTGAGAGTCAGTGTTCAGGGAAATCATTTAGTGCCATCAGGGACATATTTTGCACAGCTGGCTCTGAGTCCTAAATGAAAATACACCACAACAGGAACAGTTCAGAGTGGTTTTGGGGACATAAACTGAGGGGTTTCAACCCAGTAAGATAATTGAGTTTCAAGCTATAGCTAACAGACCTGCAGCTGGTCCCCAGGTGAGGTCAGGGAGCATCCTGTGGCCAGGAGGAAAGTCTTGGCATTTTCCATGACAATATTCAAGGGCTGAGAGAGCCTCACAGACCAGAGTTTGGGGCTTGTTCTGTAAACTGTTTCTAAGGAAACAGCCCTTTGAGATGGAATTTGTCTCTCCATGTGAGTACATCACCTAGCAAGGTGCTCTCTAGGCAGCACTAAAACAGGAATAATACTGCAACAACATTCCAGCAGTAATTAGCAGCAATTCCTGACAACTGCAGAAATGCCCTTAGTGCAACCTGAGCATACAAAATCCAAAGCACTCCCAGAGCCAACATCTTTCTATTTCTGGCAGGTCCTACTCAATTCTGAATACTACATCTTCCCCATCCCTTCAAGCCTTTGCTGATGGAGCTCTGGAGAGAAGACAGCAGGAAGACCAAGGACCTGGGGATGCAGGGCCACTCACCATCATCTGCCAGAATGTGCAGGTAGAGTCCTACACATACCTACAGCACACACAGCTGCAGGGACAAGCTTCCAGTGATTGGGATTTCCTTGACAACTTATTCCCTGGTCTCTTTACCTGCAGCACAAGTTAGTTCTCCACAAGCTTTTGAATGACATGATTCACCACAGGCACTGAAGACATCACTGTCCCCAATCCTGCAGAGCCCCATCCTCTGCTCCCTTCAGCAGCTTTATACCAGCATAAATTTACCAATATCATCAAGAGTTTCCTAAATTCATTAAAATCATTGATTCAGAAGGTTTTTCTCTACCCACATTTGCACTAGGGGAAAGCAAGAGTTGCCTGGTCCTCACTCCTATTAGTAACTGAGATCTCAGCAAACCCTTTGCACTTGGATGAAGGTCAAACCTGCTGTAATTTTTCTTGCAGCCCCTGAGAATAAGCAGCCAGCCAGGGCCTCAGAAACGCTGCCTGTTTGTCTGCAGACATGGGGAAAGGATGGATGTGGTGTTTGGGAAGTATTGGCTGTCACAGTGTTTTGATGCCAAAGGTGAGCAGCTCCCATGGTTCTCCAGGTTGGGATGAAGGGAGGAGGATGGGGAGTGCCTGAGGAGGCAAAGCTTAGATGGAAGTTGTGGTTTCCTACCACAAAGTGATGTTTTCTGTGGTGCTAGAGCTACAGTCAGAAGCAGAAACACAAGCCAGGGAGGAAATACTCCATTTTCTAAGACTATTGCAGGAGTTTCTACACTGCAGTAACATTGCCAAAGAGCAAATGGCATCATGATATTGGTAGTCAGTGCTCAAGGAAAACATTTAGTGCCATCAGGGACTTATTTTGCACTGTTGGCTCTGAGTCCTAAATGAAAATACACCACTACAGGTACAGTTCAGAGTGACTTTTGGGGCATAAACTGAGGGTTTCAACTCAGTAATGTACTTGAGCTTGAGACTGTAGTTAACACACTGTAACTTGAGGCTGTGTTGGTGTTGCAGTTGATCAGAAAGTTGTCCTCAAAGTCTTTGATCTATTCAAAAATGTCAATATCTTATAGTCAAAGGATAATTTCACAACTCCCTTCTTTCTAAATCATGGCTGGAGAGCTGTGACACTTCAGCCTCCTGCAAAAACATTCAAGTTGCCTTCTGTTGTAGGATAGAAATGATTTTCCCTTGAGGAAAACTGCCCTAAAGATAACTTTGAAAACATCACCAACATTCTCTGCTGATCTTCAACCGACGATTGACTTCATTTTCTCATACACCTGATGGTTTTACATGGGAAAACTGCTCAAGAGCAGGTCTGGGCACCACCTGCAAGGTGCAGATGGGGTGATGGAAGAGGGTAGGAGCAAGTGTGGTGGTCCTGCCTCTCTTTGAAGGAATAATTGCAGCTTCTGCCCTTGCCCTGCAGGAAGGTACGTGCGCAGCAACCTGAACATGCCTCACAGCTTACCCCAGCGCAGCGGCGGCTTCAGGGACTACGAGAAGGATGCACCCATCACTGTGCTGGGCTGCACACAGGCAAGGCTGGTTGGTAAGTCCTCCTCAGCACAAAAGAGCTTTAAGCTGAAGGAAGGCAGATTTTGGGTGGATATGATAAAGGAGTTCTTCCCTGGGAGGGTGATGAGGCACTGGCATAGGTTGCCCAGAGAAGCTATGGATGCTTCATCCCTAGGAGTGTTCCAGGCCAGGTTGGATGGGACTTGGAGCAACTTGGGTTAGTGGAAGGTGTCACTGCCCATTGTTGCAACAATATGACCTCTAAGATTCCTTCCAACACAAACCATTCCAGGATTCCATGCCCAGGAAGCTTTGCTATCTTCCTGCCACGCACCCCACCAGAGAAAGATCCAAGTGCAAGGCAATTGCTCTTGGTCTTTGCATGAACCAGAACTTGATCTCATGTTCTGGTGTCCCCAACATGAGAAGGACATGGAACTGTGGGTCCAAGTCCAGAGGAGGCCACGAAGCTGATAAGAGGACTGGATCATCTTCCTTACAAGGACAGGCTGAGAGAGTTGGGGTTGTTCAGCCTGGAGAAGAGAAGGTTGTGTGGAGACCTCAGAGCACCTTCCAGGATCTCAAGGGGCTTCAGGAAAGCTGGAGAGGGACTCTGTGTTGGGAACTGCACAGACAGGACAAGGGGCAATGGGGAGAAATTGAAAGAGGGAAAGTTAGATTAGATATCAGGAAGAAATTTTTCCCTGTGAGGGTGGTAAGACACTGTCCCAGGTTGCCCAGGGAGGCTGTGGCTGCCCCAGCCCTGGCAGTGTTCACAGCCAGGTTGGATGAGCCTTGAGCAACCTGCTCTGGTGGGAGGTGTCCCTGCCCAGGGCATGGGGTTGGGGCTGGATCATCTCTAACCTCTATTCCAACCCCTTAACATACTATGAAGCTATGAACAAATGAATTGGGTGCCCTGAACTAGTAGGACTTAGCCATTTCAAGAAGCTTTGCAAAGTCCCCTCACCTCCCCTAGCAATTTCTCTCTTTCAAAGGAAACCTTGTGTCCTTCAGCTGCTGCAGCTGAGGAAAAGACAACGCACAAAATCTGGGGCGTGGGATGAGATCAGAGCCATCAGCAGGGTGGGTGCATTTGGAAGATGCTCTTATTACCAGTGTTGGGGTGAATTGCAGCAGTGTAATGGTCACCTCATACTAAATGGACTTTTTTCCTTTACTTTGACCAGCCTATTTGCCTCACCAATAGAGTTTTTTTACCCTGCCTGGCTTTATGTTGTCCAAAACACAGCTCAAATTCTTCCCAGTCTTCTCCCACCTTCCTGTCCTTGTCCCTGACTTCTGAGCCTGTCAGTTTGTACACAGACAGAAAATCACTTGGTAGCCAAAGAACACACCCTGAGCATTGTGATTAAAGGAGCCCAACCCCTTAGAAGTCATGAGCTTCAGTACTTAGCATTTTCTCAAGCACAAATCCCTTTCTTGTTGGTCACATTCAAACTAGGGCAGCTAAAATTACACTTGCTTTCTGCAACAGAAATAAATCCCAGTGCAGCAGCAGGATGCTCAGTCTCCTGGCCACATGGCATGGGGGTTTGCAATATGCACATGACAGAAGGCAAATCTGGGAGCAGTCACAGCACACTTTGCTGGTAGCACTGAAGGGGCTGAGGACAGGAGTGTGGACATGACCCAGTGCTGTCACCCTCCCAGGCAGCTGCAGACCTTGATGTGCCAGAGCCACAATTCCTCTGATGACTGCAGCAAATGAGCAGCTTCCCTGTGATGGAGAGCTGGGAGATGTGCTTTTCCTCCTGAATTACCTCACTTCTCTGCAGAGATTTATGGATTGGCTTGACATGGTTACAGCCATCATTAAACGTGTGGAGTGAAGGTTAATGACCTCTTCTTGCTCCCACTCTGTTCTGCCTCTTCAAGGAGAACAGAAATGCAACTCACTCTTCCTACAAGCCTGTGCAGTGCTGGGCAGATCCCTGTTCTCCTCTGGTTCCCTCAGGCACTGCAGGAATATTAATAACCCTAATAGTGGAGTTGATTCTTATCTCACTCTCAGTGATCTTCCACCTGTGTAATGAAATGGTGATTTATACCAGCAAAGAATCAGCCAACTGAGTTAAGTTGGGTTTGAGTTCAGTTGAATCACTCTGATTTACAGCCTAGAAATGAAATGAAACTAAACTCAAGCTCTCTATAGTCTTTCTCAGCACACTGGTTGCTTTTGGGCTAGACCCAGGAGCAGCAGAGCCTGAGCAGGTCCTTGCTGGGTGGCAGATCCCTGTTGATTTTGCAGTGCCATATGTCTGGGGTTTTTTTTCATAGGTGCTAAAACTCTCTTGCAGGTGAAGCCTTGCTAGAAACCAATACCATTGTAGACTACATCTACAGCTCCCCATCCCTACGGTGTGTGCAGACAGCACACAACATCCTGAAAGGTAAGAACCCAGTGTGGAGAGGCTGAGTTCTCCTCACTCTCTAGGGAAAACAGTGGCAACCAGATAAAAGGGAGCCTGGAATGGGATCCCCAAGGAAATGGTAATTCAGGGTGAGAATTATTTCCATGAGACTTTACATCAGCACAGCACTGTCCATAAGGAACCCTTTTCTACTTGAAAGAGGTTGACATTCCCTGTCATAGCATATGCCAAGTACATACATCAATTACTTCATCTTCCATACCTACTATCAATCAACTGACTAATTAGAGAGAAAAAAAAAAAAAAAGTCATTTCCTATCAAACTGCAGCATTAAAGCTGCCAAGTCTTCCTGCCTCCCTCCCCAGCTCCTTTCCTTGACTCTTGCTCTCCTTTTTCCAGGTATGCAACAGGAGAACAACCTGAAGATCCGAATAGAGCCAGGCTTGTTTGAATGGACCAAGTGGGTGTCTGGGAACACACTACCTGCCTGGATACCCCCTGTGGATTTAGCTGCAGCTACTCTAAGCGTTGATACAACCTACAGGTAGCACAAAGAGGGGGCAGAGGGGGCTCATTGGCTTTGGGGTTGAAGATCTGCACTACATTTTGCTGAGGTTTAAAGTTCAGGCAGTGACTGGAAGAGCTGATGAGGTTCCCAGAATTAACTTAGAGCAGATTCAAGGCTGCTGTGCTGAGCATGACCTGAAAATGGCTTATTCTAACCCAAATTCCCACCTCACTGCCAAGGTCCAGCTATATTGCTGACCGTGGAGATCCTCTTTCCAGTACTCCTTCCACTTTTCAGGTATCCAGGGAATCCTCAAAGGATTCCTACAACTTAGGAGTTTGGGCTCAGCTAACAGGCACAGGAATTCCACCCAGATGGGCTTGGTGACAGATATCCTGTGTCTGGGGTTTTGTGCTTTATGGGATCACTTGAATGTTGGTGTTTCCCAGAGTCCCATTGTATCCATGTGTTTGAGAACCCTCGAGTGAAATAATCAGTTGAAACATTAAAAAGAGGGAAAAAAAA